TACACGATATTAGTATATACGTATTTACACACACTGTATATAAAACTGATCAAAGCAAGTGAACAGCACAGGAGATAAAAAGAGAGAAAGAAAGAGATAGAAGGGACGATGTAAGCGCACGCTCATTTCTCCCTCTTTTTTCTCCAGTATACATGGCGTATCCGTAAAATTGATAAAGTTTTGCGAAAACTTTTATAATACCTGGTAGAAGAATGTTCAAGTATATACGAGCTGGCAATTTATGTTACTCCAGAACACGACGCGCTGCATCCCGAAGTCGGCCGAGATGGGCGGGAACGGGACCGTCCCGAGCGTGTACCTATATATGTATATGCACGCAAGGGCTGCTTATCACATTTCTGCGTGGGGTATAACTGTCGTTAAAATCGTCCGGCGATCTACATTACAAAAGATTCGCCGGCGTCTCGCAGTTCGGCACAGCGGCGGCGCGGCGCTTCGGCTTCGCCGAGGCTTCCCTTCGTCGTTTCCTTCCTTCCTTCCTGGCCCTTGCCTCGCCCAACTTTGCAATTGTAATCAACGATAACGATTCCGGCACCTCGTTTTACTATTCGCGCGGAATAACTCTCTCGAAATGCAAAGCGCTCTCTGTTCCAAGGTGGTATTTAAAGGACGGTCGCGTCTCGTGTGAACCCGTCCCTTTTTTGCCCCTTTTATTTCCCGTACAAGGTAGTTTGAGAGACTTTTTCGATGTTTTTCGACGTTTGAGAAATCTCGATTGCCTTATATAATTTAGTGACATTGTGAAAGCTTGGAGATCTAAAAAACGCTGTTGATCACACATTATGCATAATGTTTATGCAAAACTTTGGTGTATTACCGCGAGAAATGTAAAAAAAGTGATAATTATTTTGCACAAAAATTTTGATAATTTTTGTGATAAATAAACTGGACTTTATATGCGAGAAATTTTATGTAGGTAGCTCTGTTTCATATGATAGTAATTTCATTTCCTATGTATTTCAAGATTTATATATTTTTTAAGA